ACTACTTTTTAAATCTGAGCATACTATGTGATGCTATGGTATCCATAGTGAGCAGGATAAAGTCAATAGAAGATGTCTTTTAACTACATGAATCCTTGAATAGGCAGTCCTTAGCATTTGTTGCATTTTTTTATCAGTATACTGGTGATAAAAGACACCTCTGCAGTTGGTAGTTTTTGTAAACATCCATCGATATTTTATGGGTGTGGTGTCTTCGCTAGTAAGATTTTCTCCACAAACAATGTACTAGTTAATCAAAAAAGATAAACAACTATAAAGCCCTTAAAATGTTTTATTCTTGGATTCTTATGAGAATTTTTTAGTTGAAATTATATGAAGACAGTCGTCTTCATTGCTCCATTCTGTTTAAAGCATCCCCAGGCTTCTACTCCAGGAGACCAATGCCAGGATGAAGTATTCATTTCAGGACAACAGAATTACACATCTGCCACGCTTAGTCTCAAAGATGTTCCTCCAGACAGCGTGAAGAAAATAGCTGTGCAGGTAATTGTCTACATGACACCATGGACAGGATATATTTATTATTATTTGTAAGCAAATTTTTTTTTTAGTAGTAGTAGAAACATATGTTGGTATAGCAGTTGGAACTGGGGCTTCTTTAAAATGTCATACCCAGGTGTCAAATGTGGTGTAAATGAACTAGCATTCTCATTTTGGAAGACAAAATAGTTAAGAAGGGGGATAGTTCTCATTTTTCTTCAGCAAGGGCTTTGAAAGAAGAAATTTGCAGCAAAAGATGTAATTGCAAATGGAAATTGGAGTATGACAGATGATTTCAGGAAAGCAACCTGAAGCTGATTAAACCTTTTAAAGAACACACTTGCAATCTGTTGTGATAAAGTTGTGATGATAAACTAGAATTTCTAGAAGACATTCTGCATTCATTTCTAAGGACCATCTATAAAGGCAGGACTTACTACAGTGAAACTAAATGAATGCTTGTTAATTATTATAATGCAGCAATTTATTTTTCTTTTTATAACTTCAGTAATTTCAGTTGCATTTATATATATGTTGGATATAGCGAATTTGCATAGCTGTTGATAACGTTGCCTATGTAAACTCTTATCTCTCGTACTGCAATAAAAAGTCATTTTCCTGTCATGCTTTAGGTTTTCAGAAAAGGCAGGAGAAAGAAGTGAAAATTTAGTACATCTGATCTGTAAATAAGCTAAAAAATGTATATATATACATACCCATTACCATTTCTCAGAATACTTTTGTCATTAAAAAACTCATATTAAAACTCATATTAACAGAATAAATTCACGCACATGGTTAAAGGTTGAAATTTGCATGCTTCAGTTATTTATAATATTCATAAAGAGTATTTTAATATCCTTGTGTCCTAGAACAACTGAGATAATGGTGACAGGCAGAAAAAACTCTGTAAATCGAGCCTGTAGTGTTTTTGGAATGTGGGAATCATACAGACAGATGAGTGACTGTTTAGGTTGGGTGAGAACACAAAGCATGTGGGCAAGGAGAGGGAATAGGCTGCCCATCTCAATGAAGAGCTGAAGAGTAACTCCTAAGGCGTCAGTAAGAAACATTGTCATCTCCAGCATCATTCCCAGTGACATGGCTTGAGTGCACTGATGTCTTGACAGTTGTGTACCTTACTGCTGTTTGTCATCACTATACCTATTGAATCACTGACAGATGTGTTAACAAAACAATAACATTTAGTGGAAATATCATTACAATTTTGATATTAAGATCTTGAGCTTGTAAAATGGTCACCAAAATATGCTCGGAGATCATGCAATTTCTGTCTGCTAGCTGTGTGGGATTTTTATTTTGTGAATGATCTACTGGGAATTGTTAGAAAATTTCAGAATTTTATGCCATAGAATTGCAGACTACAGTGATACCAACCAAGTGTCAATACTGTCAGTTGCACTGCTAGAAAATAAGAGTTAGGATGACTCAGTGAGACAAGTGCTAATGCAAAGACTGTGTAGTCTGTTCTAGTAGATTAGCACTCAAAGTAAATTCTTGGTTTTTAGATTTATTTGCATTCGGTCAGAGCTGATGACTGTAAAGAAAATTGAGTATAGTTGTACATGATCCAGAAAAGTCATTTTAGTAGTGTTCCTAAAATTAAAAACAATCAAGTATGAGAAATATTGAAATAATGATGGAGGAATTGAGGATTACTGCTTATAAAATGTATAACATTGAGTATTCATGTTTTATTCAGATACCTTTGACAAATGGACAAATGTGCCAGCCTCAAAGACCTCAGGCAAACTACAGCCAAGTCCATCATCTCCCTCCTCAATCATCAGTAGCAAGACATCCGTCTAGAGAGCAATTAATTGATTATTTGATGTTGAAAGTTGCCCACCAACCTCCCTATACACAGTCCCAGTGTTCTGCCAGACAAAGCCATGAGTTGGCAAAGCAAGAGGTAGGAATAAAATCTAACTTCATGATATGACATCTGTCTGGCAGTGGCAGTGAATTGTTAAGATTCATTTATTACCATTTCTCTGTAGATGGTGACAGAAATTGTTATAGGAATTTATCTCCAGCAGAAGACAGCCTTATCTCAGTGCAATTCTACTACTGAGATCACGTATTCCTTCTAGTTTTGAGCTCTTTTCACTTTTTATGTGAACAATTTAAGAGAGAAATGTGGTACATTTTTAACAGAATGTACCAGAAACTTAAACTTGCATCTTTTAACTGAGCTAGAAATTTATTTCTCAACTACATTTATTGATCACCAACTCATTATTTATGTAGTAACTGAAAAAATACAAAGTAGGAGTCAATTTAGAGTACGTTGCATCTATTCATTGTTATCCAGAATTGTTCAAAAACGTGCAAATGTAGAAATGTGCATCCATAAACAAAAGCCAGGATAAAAAAAGTGGAAGCATCTGATGCATGCCTGCTAACTCTGTTTTATTTATGATAGATGTGGGTAAGAAATTCTTATACTATTTAATGACTCTTTCTGCTCTTAGACAAAGGATGTTTCCACTGTATTGTTTGGGGTTTTTTTAAGAAAATACTGGGAACTGTGTTTTCATTCTGTGCTAGAATCAGAATGTCCACTTCTTGTGTAAAATAAGTTTTCTAGTCATCTATTCTGGCAAGAGAAAGTGGAGACAATGTTGGCTACGTAGAACTTAGAGTGACTGTTGGAACAAGGTTTGGCTTTTTTTTTTTTTTCAGCTAGAGGTAGCAGAGAAATAGGAGGAAGAGGGTTTTCCATAGGAACATGTATATTTGCTGGGGGTATTAAATTAATGTATATAATATCAAAATATCTCTGAATTTAAGGCCCACGTGAACTATGATTATAATAATAGTCATATTGGAGTAAAACTTGTGTACAATGATATATGATGCTTTAGTATTGGTATCTTGTTCTTAATTAATATTGAGATATCATTCTCTCTTAAACTGTGATAAATGCTTTTTTTTTTTTAGTTTCTTCTTTTTAAAGCTTCTGTTGACCTGAATTCCTTAGTAATAATTTCATTACAGTAGCTTTGAATGCAGATTTTTCACCTGGTTCATCTAATTTTGATTGTACCTACTTAGATTCGAGTGATAATTGACAAGGATCCAGAACTTGGATTTAGTATATCAGGAGGAGTTGGTGGTAGAGGGAATCCATTCAGACCTGAAGATGATGTGAGTATTTTATACTAATGCATCTTAAAATAATTCTAATTAATAATGTTGCTAGTGTTTAGCAAAGTGGGGGAAAAAAAAAGTATATCTATTTCCCAAACCGATAAATTCCAGGACTGGAGGGGAGGAAACTGGGGACAAATGGTATGGAAAATCAAGGTGGTAGGCGTCCACAGGGGTCACATGACAACACAGAGGATTACTTTATGTGAGTGGTTCTTGCACAGTTCCAAATACCAGTCGACAGATTTGAGATAGTGAATTATGGAATTTCCAATTAGGAAGCCTCTTAAAAGAGAACAAGATTTAGCCTACAGCCTTATTTCTGGTAGTTGATAATTCGTCTTGACATATACATCTGACGAATTAAACAAAGGCAGATCAGAATTTGCTCTTCAGTATTCCTTTAAAGGCAATTCTCCTGGATTTAACATAAGGAAAGGAAGGCTGTCACAAAACCCAGTAGACCTGTAGAATAACATGCATTCTTTTCTATTTAGGATGGAAAACTGAAAAAAATGTTCTCTGTTTCATGCTACATTACTGTTCATGAAGTAAGTTCTCAAAAATGTTTTCCACCTCTGTTTTTCAAGGGTATATTTGTAACCAGAGTGCAGCCAGAAGGACCAGCATCCAAATTGTTGCAGCCTGGAGATAAGATAATTCAGGTACTGTGGTCATCTAATTAATTAGCCTATGTAATATACCAGTTCATTTTTAGTTTGCACCTTTTCTAAGAGCAGAATGTTTAATTTTAGTTAGATTAACAATATATTTTCTAGAAGCATTTTTATATCCTGGTATGATGTTTTAAATTTTCTTCCACCTTAACATTAGCATAGGTGATAAAAGCTGAAGCATTAATCAGTTGTATGATTTTTTTCAAACTCTGAACATTTTTCACACTTTTAAAGAAAAAAAAAATGGGCCTGATGTTGCCATTCCAGATTGAACATGAGCATTTCATTAGGCTTTACCATCATTCAGAATGTTTTTCAACTTGTGGTTGTTCACATGCAGTGTTCTGAATAAGGTGTTACGTGAATCCCAGCAGTTGCCTCTCACAGCCCATCTCCCCAGCTGCACCAGCTGTTACGTCCCCCTCCATCCTGCAGTGCCTGACAGTCTTTGCTGCCTCTCCCTGAGCTGACAGGATGGACATGCACAAGTGCTGACAGAAGCTGCCTCTCAGCTGGCTGGTACCTGGCTGGTCACAGCATGTACCTCCTGGCTGCCCCATCTGCTGCAGGCAACCCAAGGTGGTTGCTTCAGGAGCCACAGCTCCTTGGCTGCAGATCTGCAGTTCTTTTCTGTAAGAAGTCAGTACCTTTCAGACCTCTTCTGTATCGGATTTATTTGAAGTTTTCTAAAGGATCTTACAAGCTATTTGGGGAGGGGTCAAGGAAACGGACAACAGGATTATATAAGCCTGGCTTTCGTAGGGAAATGAGCTAACAGGACGTTTGAACATGGCTGTAGTCACCCTTAAAAGATGCAGAGCTTGTTAAAAATTATCAACTCTTAACCAAATTACTGGGTTGAGAATGTTAGAGTTCACTGCTGCATTTCAGTTTTCTAAAAACAAACAAGAAAACCGAACAAAAACCCCACTAGTATCTCAATTAAACAACAACATCCTCTGAATAGTTTTCTAAAACAAAACCAAACTGAAAACACAGCCTAATTCTCCAAGTGAAAGATAAAGCCAAAACGCACACAAGAAAACTAAACTGTGATCAACTTGCTTGGTTTTGAGCATGGTAAATAATTCTGTGCTTGTTCTTCAAAACTGGGGTGAGAAAACTCCTAGTTCTCTTACTGACGTAGATGACTTTAAGGGATGGAGGTAACCCTCCAACACACCATACAGGAACAAGCTGCATGTTAAACCCTTGAAAATATTGGTAGCGTATTGGTTACATATTTATAGAGTGGAACATGTGTGAAAGGTGACTTCTGGTTTAACGGTTTATTCCTGTCTTTATGGAATTTCATTTGTCTGCATAATATTTATAGTGAAGTTTCCTTTTGTCATGTTGGCACTGAATGAGTTTTGCATTTTGTTTAATGGGGAATTCATAATTTGAAAAAGAGCTGAAGGAGAAGTTGCATTTGCATGCTCAGACAATTACAGGCTGTTTCATTTCTCATAACTAAGAATATTTTTTTGTGTAACTGTGGTGGGTTAGTCCTTGGCTCGGGGCC